AACTATACCAGGGTGGTCACATAACATTCCATGGAATGCTGTCTTGGATGCCATTTGTACTGGGTGAGCAGGTGCAGCAGCCCTCCCAATCAACTCTGCCTTGGCTCATTACCCTGGCTTGAGACACACCAGCTGTGCAGTACACACCTACTTAATATACTGAATCAAATCAGACAATATCCAAAAGGCCATTTCTTCTTTTTGGTAGCAACCTACTCTGCAGTTTAAAAGATGGAGTTCAGAGTGAATAGAATTGCAAAATATATGACTTTTTGTCTAGAAACACAGGTGCAGCTGCCTCCCAGACTTCTTTCCTTGCATGTCATGTTCAGAGACAGAAGGAGAGAGAGAGAAATGGCTTATACAACATTTTAAATGGTTCATTTATTTATTTGAAAGAATGATAGAAAAAGGGAGGAGGGAGGGAGGGAAGGAGGGAGGAAAATGAGAGAGAGAGAGAGAGAGAATGCTATTTGCTGATTTAACCCCCAAATGGATGCAATGACCAGGGCTGGGCCAGCCTGAAGCCAGGAGCCTGGAACTGCATCCAGGTTTCCCACATGGGTGGAAGGGACCCAAGCACTTGGGCTATCTTCTGTTGCTTTCCCAGGCACATTAACAGGGAGCTGGATTGGAAGCGGAGCAGCTACAGTTCAAACCAGTTTTCATATAGATTGGTATCAGATCTTCTGACAGCAACACTTTACGCCATAAGATAATGAAAAAACATACTGAAGATACTCAGGAAAAGAAACTGCTAGCTAAGGGTTTTCCAGCCCTCTAAACTGACCATTGGACATCAAGGCTGCTGAAATATTATTAGAATTTGGGGAATATTGTTCCTGAGTTCTTTTTTTAATTTATTTTTAATTTATTTTTGACAGGCAGAGTGGACAGTGAGAGAAAGAGAGACAGAGAGAAAGGTCTTCCTTTGCCGTTGGTTCACCCTTCAATGGCCGCCGCGGCCAGCGCGCTGCGGGCTGGTGCACCGCGCTGATCCGATGGCAGGAGCCAGGTACTTATCCTGATCTCCCATGGGGTGCAGGGCCCAAGTACTCGGGCCATCCTCCACTGCACTCCCGGGCCACAGCAGAGAGCTGGCCTGGAAGAGGGGCAATGGGACAGAATCCGGCGTCCTGACCGGGACTAGAACCTGGTGTGCCGGCGCCACAAGGCGGAGGATTAGCCTAGTGAGCTGCGGCGCCGGCCCCTCTGAGTTCTTTCCCATGCTTAATAAAAGATGGGAAAAGCTTTGGTATGAGGACTGGCAGTCAACACTGAACATGTATAACAGTAGAACTAAAACTAAGTGATGGAGATAAGGTGACAGAATGGTATGGAATTATTATAGGCTGTCATAATCTAGATGTCATACAATTAAAAATAGAAGAAGGGAGAAAGTATATGGAAAGTATTTAGTCAAATACCCAACAAAATGATGTCACTAGATAATTTAATCATTCCTCATAGTACACATTAAGTATTTGTTATTTTCATTTTATTTAAAAGACAGAGAGACAGAGATCCTCTATCTGCTGGTTCACTCCCCAAATGTCTACAACAGTCAGGTCTGGGCCATGTTGAAGCCAGGAGCCTGAAGCTCAATCAGGTCTTCCACCTACTTGAGCAATAGTCTGCTGCCTCCCAGGGTACTTGTTAGCCAGACAATCCAAAAGGGATGTGAGTATCCCAACTAGTGTCTTAACTGTTAGGGCTAACATTCTTCCCTAAAATATGAGTTTTCTTGTGTATTATTGGTGAGATCTATATTTTTAAAAGGATTTGTTTATTTGAAAGGCAAAGTGACAAAAAGAGTGGGTGAGAGAGAGAGGGAAGAGGGAGAAGCAGACAGAAAGGGTGAGGGAGAGTGATCTTTCACCTGTTGACTCACTCCCCAAATGCCTGAAATTTCTGGGGCCTGAAGCCGGGAATTCCATCCAGTTTCCCACATGAGTGTCTGTAACCCAAATCCTTGGAATGGTGTCTAATGTCTTCCTGCCCTGGCTTGTGGATGCAGGACTTGGTTCTAGCCATGGCAATGTAGGGTGCAGGTATCTCAAGCGACAGCTTAACCCACTGTGCCCTAATTCCTGCCCCAGAAGAAGAAAAATAAACAAAAATAAAGAAAAAATTGCATTATTTGCCTTTTACAGTATTGATGCTGTCTTAAAGAATACATAGATATAAGGATAACACAAGTAATTTTGTTGGTATTAAGAACCAAATATTTATTTATTTATTTATTTGAGAGAGTTATAGACAGACAGATGGAGAGACAGAGAAAAAGGTCTTCTACCTGCTGAATCACTCCCCAGATGGCTGCAATGGCTGGAGCTGGGCCAATCTGACGCCAGGAGCTTCTTGAGAGTCTCCCATGTGGGTGCAGGGGCCCAAGCACTTGGGCCATCTTCTACTGCCTTCCCAGGCCAGAGCAGAGAGCTGGATCGGAAGAGGAGCAGCGGGGACTAGAATCAGCACCCATGTGGAATGCCAGTGCTGCAGGCAGAGGTTTAGCCCACTAACCACAGGCCGACCCCAATTTTAATAACACAAATATAAGCATTCTTAGATAAGTAAAAACTTTGCAATTTTCTGCTCAAATTGGAAATAACTGTATGTATTAATTATTTTTCTCTTTTTTAAACATACATATTTTCTGGTTGAATTCATTATAAAGGCCTAGGATTAATGTCCACCTTGTAACAATGAGCACCACTAGTAACAACATTGTGGTATTTAAATATCAGCTTCCACTAAAAGAAACGGGGGTTCCTTGAAAAATCACTGATTTCATATATATGGTAGCAAATATAAAAGATGAAGCTCATTTTGATTCCAAAAAGCAAGGAAGCTACAAGGCTACTAGAGTCATGTTGAAAGCATACAGCAACCAATTTGAAGGAGTTCCTACCACTTGCAGATGGACTCTTTGGAGAATCAAGAGAAGTAATGACTTGATTGAAATGGCTCTGTATAAAAAACAATGTGAATTCATAATGTTCCAAAATCACTGATCACTGTTGCAGACTGCTAGGGAATGAATGAATTATTCTGAGGATTCCTAAAGAGAAATAAAATAACATTTATGCCATCTGTTTCATATGGCTTATATTTCAGGGTACCAAACGGTTGAAGAAGGATAATTCTTTATGGAATAATTCCATCTAATGAATGCATAGAGAATGGTAGAATTTGAAAACCAACATTTTAGAAGCCTTGGAGAAATGATGGAACTTAACAGTGATCATAATGGATGTAAAAGTATTAGATTGATGGGGATTCTGCTAATAGACCAATTCAGGCTGACCGTGAATCCACACATAATGAAAAGCAGAAAAACTATAAATATGCCTCAAGAGGTGATGTAATATGAATTGATAGGAATATTTTATAAAGGGGCCAGTGTTGTGATGTAGAAGTTCATGCCATTGCCCGTGATGCCAGCATCCTATATGGCACTGGTTCACGTCCTGACTGTTCCACTTCTAATCCAGCCACCTGATAAAGGCCTGAGGGAAAAAAAATAGAAAATAGCCCAAGTACTTGAGCCTCTGCTATCTATGTGGGAGACCTGGAAGAAGCTCTTGGCTTCTGGCTTTGGCCTGGCCCACTGCTTGGCCATTGCAGTCATCTGGTGAATTTACCAGTGGATGGAAGCTCTCTCTCTCTGCCTCTCCCTCTTTCTCTGTAACTCTGACTTTCAAATAAATAAATAAATATTAAAAAATAAAAATTTTATAAAAATATTGAACCTGAACTTTTTAGATTTGAATATTAATACTTAGCAAATAGGGGATAAAGAAATCTGTTACAATAGATTTTTTAAAAAAGATTTATTTATTTACTTGAAAGTCAGAGCTACACAGAGAGAGAGAGGAGAGGCAGAGAGAGAGAGGTCTTCCATTGATGGTTCACTCCCTAATTGGCTGCAATGGCAGGAGCTGTGCCAATCTGAAGCCAGGAGCCAGGAGCCAGGAGCTTCCTCCAGGTCTCCCATGCAGGTGCAGGGGCCCAAGAACACAGGCCATCCTCCACTGCTTTCCCAGACCATAGTAGAGAGCTGGAGTGGAAGTGGAGCAGCGGGGTCTTGAACCAGTGCACACATCGGATGCCAGCAAGGCAGATGCCAGCCTTACCTGCTACGCCACAGCGCCTGTCCCACAATGTTAATTTATAACAATTTAAAAAGCACCAACACGCTGTGGCACAGTGGGTTAACGCCCTGGCCTGAAGCGCTGGCATCCCACATGGGCGCCGGTTCGAGACCTGGCTGCTCCACTTCCTATCTAGATCTCTGCTATGGCCCGGGAAAGTAGTAGAAGATGCCCCAAGTCTTTGGGCCCTTGCACTCACGTGGGAGATCGGCAAGAAGCTCCTGGCTCCTGGCTTTGCATTGGCACAGCTCCGGCCGTTTCCGCCATCTGGGGAGTGAACCATCGGATGGAAGACCTCTCTCTCTCCCTCTGCCTTTCCTCTCTCTGTGTAACTCTTTCAAATAAATAAATTAATTAATCTTTTTTTTAAAAAAAAGCACCGATAAATTGTGAAATACAACACAAAACTCACTTGATTATTTTATGTATTAAAAACATCCACCAAAACAAAACACTGAATCGTCGAAGCTACTTTGCTTTCCTTCCACCGCATTTCTGACCAGCCTCCCTTTAGACCATTCCTCCAGCACAGAACAAGTGAGGACCGGCACTTTGTCTCTAGGGGCTTCTCACTTACTCCAGTGATTTTAAGAGAACATTGGTGGGAAAGTCATTCATACAGTGAAAGGCGCAAAATAAGCGTATACTGAGGTTATCCTGTACACACCGAATCCCCGAAACGAAACTCAGTTACTCTTCCGCAGATCTGCAAGTGTCCCTTAATATCCGGGTGGGAGCAAGCCCAGAAAATCTTGATCGAGGTTCAGAACTGCGCATGCTCTGTAGGTTGAGTAGCGCTCCCTCCTCCCCCTCGTCGGAAGTCGGGGTTTGTGTGTGAAATTACGACTGTCGTAAACTGAGATTTCCTGACGGCTGCCTAGCTTTACGATGACAACAACTATGGCGGCTGCCAGTGGCAGATTTGAAAGTGAGAGGAGTATAGAAGAGCGAAAAGAGCAGACCCGGGTTGCCAGGGCCGAGGTGTTGCGCCAGGTATCTCAGTTTTGGGGCTTTTGTAGTTATTTCGCATTGTGAGAGTTAAGGGTTTCCGGGGGCTAGCCCTCTCACCCCTCCCCTCTGCCCTGTAGTATTTCCCCTTATATCCGAGTGAGATACACAGTAAACTCGTGCGTATCCTCTGTGCCTTACACGATTTGGTAGCTTCCAGTTTCTTATTCTCTGATGGAGCTGTTTGTTTCCTCCAAGTTTCCTTACCTTTTAAGTCATCCGTTCTTGCTATCTCTGCGACCTGGTCTGCGCACTTTAGAGGTGCGGTACAACTTGTCCATGACTGTGCCAACGTGCTTCGCAGCCTTCGTCATTTCTTTAGCTGTATGTGAAATGAAAACAAGCTTGCTTTTTTTTTTTTTTTCTTTCCGGGAACACATGAAATGTGTATTTGATTGTATGGTATTTGATTCTCCTTACTGTTGGTGTGCATTCCGGACTTACTGTGAGCTCTTGTTGATTCAAACAAGAATTAACGCAAGAGACTCAGAAAATTTAGCTTCTCATAGTGATTGAGAAACATTGTATTGCTCATTAAGATTCCGATGCACAGACGTAACATATAAAGAGGGAAGTCAACTATTGAGTTACCTGACAAGCTGTTCAAGATGTAAGAAGTGTGGCTACGGAAGGGAAAAATGGTCGTTGGGGAGCAACTTTGGGTACAGCGAGGACAGTGAGAGTTTTTATTTATTTATCTTGGTTTTAAGATGGGAATGTTTTAAAAATGTTACATGCAAATAAGGAGCCAGTAGAGAAGAGGTAGAGGAGGCAGGAGGGAGAAGGGTTAATGACAACAGCTAGGTTTTTAAAGGGGGAAGAGTGAGTGGTTAATTTTGGACTAGGTTTGGTATTGTTCTCTGATTTCAGAGAAAGAGAAAGTATTTTTCAGTCTTGTCTGTTTAGTATTTCAAGCAGTTTTTGGTTTGTAAGATGTGATCAGTTTTATAGTAGAGGTAAAAATAGAATTTGTGGACTAAACTCAGCTTTGGAGTTTGGGGGAAGAATACCGACAGAAACAACCTCTTAGTAATAGTTTCTTTTATTCAACTGTTGTTGAAGAATGAATACAATTAGTAATATAGTAACTTTTTTAAAAAAAGAAAGATAATTGTTGCAGAAACATTGTAAAGGACTGGGTATTGGGCTGTAGGCATTGCATATTGAAGGTGTGGAGGTTTATCTACTGTTTTTTTTTTTTTTTTATTTTATTTGAAAGGCAGAGCTACCCAGAGAGAGAAGGAGAGGCAGAGGCAGAGAGAGAGAGAGAGAGAGAGAGGTCTTCCATCCACTGGTTCACTCCCCAATGGCCACAACAGATGGCTGGAGCTGCACCATTCCAAAACCAGGAGCTAGGAGCCTCCTCCAGGTTTCCCACGCAGGAGCAGGGGCCCAAGGATTTGGGCCACCTTCTACTGCTTTCCCAGGCCATAGCAGAGAGCTGGAACTGGCGCCCATATGGGATGCCAGCACTGCAGGTGGTGGCCTTACCTGCTACCCCACAGCGCCAGCCCCAATATCTCCTGTTAACAGAAGTCTAAAGCAGTAGCTGTGAAGATGGTAAAGGGAAAAGGGATTCCAAGTCTTATTAGTAGTAGGGAGATCTGAGAGAGGGAAGAGCCCAGAATGGATCCCAAGATTCTATCCTTAATTAGGAACTCAGTTCACTGGAAATTGGTAATATGGAGAAGTTCTGTTTTGTTTTTGAAATCTTTATATATATATATATATATATACACACACACACACACATATATAATTAATATAAAGAGAACAGGTTTCATGTATTTCATAGATACAGTTCTTTTTTTTTTTTTTTTAAAGATTTATTTATTTATTTGAATGTCAGAGTTACACACAAAAGGAGAGGCAGAGAGAGAGGTCTTTCCATCCGCTGGTTCACTCCCCAATTGGCTGCAACGGCCGGAGCTGTGCCGATCTGAAGCCAGGAACCAGGAGCTTCCTCTGGGTCTCCCAAATGGGTGTAGGGGCCCAAGGACTTGGGCCATCTTCTACTGCTTTCCCAGGCCATAGCAGAGAGCTGGATTGGAAGTGGAGCAGCCAGGACTTGAACTGACGCCCATAAGGGATGCTGGTACTACAGGCGGTGGCTTTACCTGTTAACGCCCCAGCCCCAGCCCCTAGATACAGTTCTAAGATAAATATACTTCCCTCCCTTAGTCCCTCTCCTTCCTTCCTTTTATTAGTTAATTTTTGCAAAAGCCTAAGTTCAGTCTACTCTGTTATCATAGGCTTAATGCACCACTAACCATAATATTCAACAGATAAGAAGTGTAAAGACTGCAGTTCCATAGGAGTATAAACAAGGGCTGAAAACAACAATCAAGTCACAGCTGTCTGTTTTATTCCTATAATTTTTTTGTGTTCTATATTAACTATCACATATCAGAGAAAACATGATATTTGTCTTTTTGGGACTGGCTTATTTCACTAAGCATAGTGATTTCCAGTTGTATCCATTTTCTTGTGAAAGACAGGAGTTCATACTTTTTTATGGTTGACTACCCTGGTGGAAGCAAATTCCGGGCAAGGAACAGACCATTCAATTACCTTTAGGTGAAAAAGGACAATTTTTAAAGAAGAGTGGGTGATTAGTCTTGGACTAAGGTTGGTATGGTTCCTTGATTTTAGCATATGTAAGGTACATGAATAAAAAGCATTCTTCTTGCTTCTCTCTTTGGTGTTTTAAGTAGTTTTGGGCAGGAGTGGGGTTTGTAAACTGCGATAAATTTGCTTTTCTTTTTTTTTTTTTTTTTTGTTAAAAGGAATCAGGTCAGTTGCTAGTTGTCTTTCTTGTTGTAGGCTAAAGCTAACTTTGAAAAGGAAGAAAGGCGTAAAGAACTTAAACGACTTCGGGGTGAGGATACATGGATGCTACCGGATGTAAATGAGCGAATTGAACAATTCTCACAGGTCAGTACTGTCTTTTGTCTTTTTTTGCACTTATTATTTAAGTTAACATTGGAAGAAAAATTTTATAGAAATTTTTGTAAGTTACAGAATGAATATAACAGAGTTGGCACTGCTGGGTAGTTTTATTGCTTAGGCAGAAGTAATGTGTAGGATTTTGGATATTATGACATTGAAAGATTTTTGTTCCTAGAGTTGGCTAGTAGCAGTTTTAACTCCAAATTTCTGGCTCACTTGTGGTAAGTTTGTGGATTTAAGAAATTGTGCATCTTGGGGGCTGGTGCTGTGGTGCAGCTGGTTAACACCCTGGCTTGTAGCGCTGGCATCCCATATGGGCACCGGTTCTAGTCCTGGCTGCTCTTCTTCCGATCCAGCTCTCTGCTATGGCCTGGGAAAGCAGTGGAAGATGGCCCAAGTCCTTGGGCCCTTGCACTCGTGTGGGAGACCCAGAAGAAGCTCCTGGTTCCTGGCTTCGGATTGGCACAGCTCTGGCTGTTGAGGCCATTTGGGGAGTGAACCAATGGATGGAAGACCTCTCTCTCTCTCCCTGCCTCTCCTCTCTCTGTGTGTAGTTCATACCTTCAAATAAATAAATAAATCTTTAAAAAAAAGAAATTATGCATTTTAACCTTTGTACCTTTATTTATTTTTCTAGGTCTCAAGCTTTGTTTTTTTTTCCTACAATTTTTTTTTTTTTTTTAGGATTTATTTATTTATTTGAAAGAGTTATGGAGAGAGAAGGGGAAACAGAGAGCGAGAGATCTTTTATCTGCTGCTTTACTCCTCAAATGGCTGCCACAACCAGGGCTTGGCCAGGCCAAAACCTGGCTGAAGCAGGTGGCTAGTTAACCTGCTGGGAACAGCGCTGATCTCTCCTACATTATTTTATTCTTTATGTGACAAATAATTGTGCATGTTTGTGGGACATACTATAATGACTTTATTTACATTATATATTTTAGAAAGATTGAAGGAAACAACATATACATTACCTTTCCAATTTACTATTGTTTTGTGGTGAGAATGTTAAAATCTATTCTTATAGCAATTTTGAAATATACTATAGATTGTTATTAACTGTAGTCACCATGAAATATGATAGGTCACTAAAAAGTATTCCTTCAGTCTAACTGAAACTTTATACCCTTTGATTAATATCTCTTCTTTTCTCATTCCTCCTCTCCAGCCTCTTCCAACAATTTTAATTCAAGCTATCTTGTTATATTTTTTATGACCTCATAATGTTGTATGAGTTTTTTTTGTACCATTGAAAGATACTCTGTGTGTGTAGATGTATGCCTATATGTTTGATTATATCTGTATGACACATGAATATAAAAATAAATTAAAACCAAACTTTTCCTTATAATTTTTCCATTAAAAAATCTTAGCTATGGGGCTGGTGCTGTGGTGTGGTAGGTAAAGCTGCTACTTGTGGTGCTGACATCCCATATGGGCACTGGTTTAAGTCTTGGCTGCTCACTTCTTATCCAGCTCCCTGCTAATGAGCCTGGGATAGCAGAGGAAGATGGCCGAAGTCCTTAGGTCCCTGCACCCATGTGGGAGACCTGGAAAAAGCTCCTGGCTCCTGGCTTAGGCCTGGCCCAGTCCTGACTGTTGTGGCCATCTAGGGAGTGAACCAGTGGATGGAAGATTCTCTATATCTGCCTCTCAGTAACTCTGCCTTTCAAATAAATAAACAAATCTTTAAAAATTCTTAGTCATATGATTTGTGAGTAGTACATATGCTATTGAAGGTATTTTAAAGGAAGATTTATGTATTTATTTATTTGAAAAGCAGAGTATCAAGGAGAGATTGAGTGATCTGTCTCTATACACTGGTTTACTCCCCAAATGGCTGCAACATCCAGGATTGAGCTTGGCTGAAGCCATCAGCCAGGAACTCTAATGGGTCTTCTACACAGGTGGGTGTCAGGAGTCTAACCATTTGGGCCATCATTGACTGCCTTCCCAGGTGCATTAGCAGGGAGGTGGACTGGAAGCAAGAGAGCTGGGATTCCACCTGGCCTTCTAATGTGGGATGCCAGTCACAGGATTTGGCTTAACCTGCTGTGCCACAACCCTGGCCACTATAGAAAATATCTTAAAGCTTCTTGGAATATTTTATTTATTTGGTGATATTGTTCCTCTCATGAAAGATTTATAAAGCTTTTGGAACATAAATTTTTTTTCTCTCAAAATGGTTCCTTTTAAGGAAGATAAAACTAGGTTGCTTTTTTAACCTGTTGAAAATAATTATTTATAGGAACACTCTGTGAAGAAAAAGAAAAAAAAAGACAAGCATTCAAAAAAAGTAAAGAAAGAGAAGAAAAAAAAGAGCAAGAAGGAGAAATATGAGAAGAGCAAGGAGTCATCTGATAGTTCATCTGTAAGTATATACTAAAATTAACTAAAGCAGCTATTTGTCAGAAAGTTTTTTTGAAGGAATTGTGTATTGAAACTTAAAGCATATGAAGACCTTAAGAAAGTATGACACGAAAATGTCTGGGAGACGTGGACTTGGAGAAGGCCAGAAAATATTGAAAATGTGAACCTTGGATTCCAAAAAACAGAAAACAGGAATATGATTTGGGAAACATTGCTAGTTGGAGCCATTAGAATGGATTAAATACTTAGGGAAACTAAAGGTGAAAACTAGCACTGGAGAGCCAAAAAAGGAAGTAAAGAAGGCTGTGTGTTGGAAAATTAGAAGGAAAAGCAGGAAAGAGAGGTATTATAAACATAAGGGAAAAGAGACTTAAGAGTCTGTTACCTTTGTTTGGTCTTTTCATAGATAATAACATCTCAGGCTTTGAAATAGGATGTGTTTATATATTTACCTTTGGGGGCCAAAGGATGAGAGTGCTTAGTTAGCTGTGTCTCTAGCTGGTTCAGGATGAGAAGACTTAGGAAAATAAAGTAGGCCAAATCCTTTGTGTATGTTTTCAGGGAACAGAGGTTGTGCTTATCGAGAGACAAGCTAGAGATATTTAGGGATAAATGGTCTGCCATGTATGATCTTCATAGGGTTTTCTTCCAAGTTGAATTGCCATAATCTAAAATATGGACCACATAGTTTCAGAAACTAAGTTTTTGCCAGCATGTTGTTAAAGGGAAACATAGCTGGGTATTAGTTAAACTTTTGAAAGTAGATTTTAGTCAGTAATTACAAATAGCAGAGGAAATTGCTGAGCTCAATTTCAACTTGTACAGAGATGTTTGGGCATTTGAAAGGGAAAATAAGGAAATGGGGAGAGCAAGGGCTCAATACAACAACAAAAGTGGATAATTCCAAAGGGTTGGACAGTGTAAATTTGATTAGGCCAATTGTGTTTGCTAGCTGGTAATTTTTTTTTTTTTAAGATTTATTTTATTTATTTGAAAGAGTTAGAGAGAGAGAGGGAGAGAGAGAGAGGTCTTCTATCCACTGGTTCACTCTGCAAATGGCCACAATGGCTGGAGATGACCAATCTGACGCCAAGAGCCAGAAGTTTCTTCTGGGTCTCCCACATGGGTGCAGGGACCCAAGCACTTAGGTCATCCTCTGCTGCTTTACCAGTGTATTGGCAAGGAGTTGGATCGGAACTAGAGTAGCCAGGACTCCACCAGCACCCATATGGGATGCCAGCGCTGCAGATTGGGTCTTTAACCCACTGTGCCACAGCACTGGTCCCAACTGGCAGTTTTTGAAGTTAGGATTCTTTCCTCTCACAGATACTGGGAAACAGGCTCTATCTTTCCTGATGATTGGATTTCAGTGGGATAGTTCTTAGGTCCTTGAGAAAGGTCCTTTAAGTGATACCATTTTCATAACCCCTTTTTATTCAAATTCCTAAAAAGAGGGGTTTGGGGACTTACCATCAAACATTGGCACAAACGAATAGTAGATTTTTTGGCAGTATTGAGCTTTCCCAGGCAGGCATTTCACTTGAAGGATAGGATCAACCAAGGAAAACTGTCTTATATTTCTAGAAGCCATGCTACAATTTGGTTAAGTCTCTTAGTACAGAAATTCGGATGTAGTAAATATGCTGAGAGTTCTACAGTTCTCAGGATCTTCAGGTGGTGATTGGCTTTGAAAGCCTATCTTATATGAAAATTTAGTATATTAGTTCATGATGAGAAATATAAATGGATAATCTCAGACTAGCCAGCTTATTTTATAATGGTAGAAATATTAAGCTTACAGAAAAAAATTTTGAACATAACTTAGAGCAAAGGGAGGTAGTTAACCTTGTAAGTGAAAAGGAAATAGAGACACTATTTCCAGAATTGTGGCTTTGGGTTGTTGACTCCTTTGAAAATCTGCTAAAAGGAAGTGATCCTTTCTCAAATCCATACACATACAAAGTTAGTTATTTTGGTCACGTTTAGAAAGCTCCCTGGGCCGGCGCTGTGCTGCATTGGGTTAACGCCTTGGCATGAAGTGCCGGCATCCCATATGGGCACCAGTTCTGGTCCTGGCTGCTCCTTTTCCGATCCAGCTCTCTGCTGTGGCCTGAGAAAGCAGTAGAGGATGGCCCAAGTCCTTGGGCCCTTGCACCCTTGTGGGAGACCAGGAAGAGGCTCCTGGCTCCTGGCTTTAGATTGGCACAGATCCGGTCGTTGTGGCCAACTGGGGAGTGAACCATCGGATGGAAGACCTCTTTCTCTCTCTCTCTGCCTCTCCTCTCTCTGTGTGACTCTGACTTTCAAGTAAAAATAAATAAATCATTAAAAAAAAAAAAAAAAAGAAAAGAAAACTCCCTGGGATATATGCAAGGATGAGAGCTTGAGAGTCCCCAAACCTGCCAGGCTGTTTAAACATTTATGTTGGTTTGATTAAAGGCACTTTTCTTCCTCTTATTAGAGACATTGTCCCAGATTCTTTTCCCCTTCTATCCTGGAAATAGATATATGAGAGTACTGTAAAAAGTTTATGAAAAAATGGAATTAAAATATGAATTTATTTTGGTTCAAAAATATTTGAAAGCCATATATAATGTGTTTTTACTGCACATTTCCATGGAATTTTTGAGGACCCCTCAGATGGATGGATTTAAAAACATTTGCACCAAAGTTAACTTATCTTTTAATTCCATTTTAATGAACTTTTTAAAGTACTTCTGTATATATTTTGTTCAATGTACAATAGGTACACGCACATATCTATCTATCTGTATATACATACATATGTATATGAAGGGTATGTGTGTGTGTGTGTGTGTATGCCTAAGACAGAGTTGTTTGAATAAGTGCCTATGTTCATACCACATTGAAGAGGATTGGAGAATGCAAAGAAATTTGTGCTATCAATGAAGGAAAGGAAGGACAGTGAGTTAGAATAGCTAGGTAAGTTAGGTTGTTGGGAGATCTTTTTGAAAAAATATTTTTAGGGAAAGATAACTAATACGGAGGAAAATGATAGATTTGTTCCAAGGGGAAAGGGTTAGCTTTGATCAGCAGTAGGTGTACTCTCTCTTCTGAGCTAGGAGGGAAGTTGTGAAAATGTGTACAAATAAGAGAAATGAGGTGGTTCCTTTGTGAACTTGAAGTTTCCTTTGCTTTTAACTTTCATATAACCCAAGTTTTGCTTTTGTTGTCTTTGATTTTGGGGTCTAATACAGAAAGGTATTGCCTATGCCAGTGTCTTAAAGTGTCTCCCCAATGTTTTCTTCTAGTAGTTTCATAGTTTCAAGATGTATAGTTAGATCTTTGATCTATTTTGAGTTGGCTTTTGTTTGCATGGCGTGGAGTGGTGAAGGGAGAGTGTTTTCTGCACATGGATATCTAGTTTTCCCAGCACTATTTATTAAAGAGGCTATCATTTCTTCAGTGTATGTTGTTGACATCTTTATAGAGAATCAGTTGGCTGTAGAAGCATGGAATCATTTTTGGGATCTGTGTTCTATTCCTTTGATTTATTAATTCATTTTTATGCCAATACCATGCTGTTTTATTTACAAAAGTGCTATAGTATGTCTGCAAATCAGGTATGGTGGTGAGTCCAGCTTTGTTCATTTTGTTCAGAATTGCTTAGCCTATTGAGTGTCTTTTGTGCTTCCATGTGAATTTTACAATTAATTGTTCTAACGTGCCAAGGGATTACAATTCAGTCCCATCAAGGTGGCATGTACCGATGCCATCCTACTAGTCAAAGTGATCAGTTTCAGTTCATAATTGATCATAATGATAGGATTAAGTGTCAAAGGGATCACATAAACAAGACTAGTGTCTGGCTTAACCAGTTTGCATTCCCACCAACAGTGGGTTAGTGTCCCTTTTTCCCCACATCCTTGCCAACATCTATTGTTGGTAGATTTCTGAATGTGAGCCATTCTAACCGGGGTGAGGTGAAACCCCATTGTGGTTTTGATTTGCATTTCCCTGATTGCTAGTGATCCTGAACATTTTTTCATGTGTCTGTTGGCCATTTGGATTTCCTCTTTTGAAAAATGTCTATTGAGGTCCTTGGCCCATCTCTTAAGTGGATTGTTTCTTTTGTTGTTGTGGAGTTCCTTGATTTCTTTGTAGATTCTGGTTATCAACCCTTTATCTGTTGAGTAGTTTGCAAATATTTTTTCCCATTCTGTTGGTTGCCTCTTCACTTTCCTGACTGTTTCTTTTGCAGTACAGAAACTTCTCAATTTGATGCAATCCCAATAGTTAATTTTGGCTTTGACTGACTGCACCTCCGGGGTCTTTTCTAGGAAGTCTTTGCCGGTACCTATGTCTTGCAGGGTTTCTCCAATGCTCTCTAATAATTTGATGGTGTCAGGTCGTAGATTTAAGTCTTTAATCCATGTTGAGTGAATTTTTGTGTAAGGTGAAAGGTAGGGGTCTTGCTTCATGATTCTGCACATGGAAATCCAATTTCCCAGTACCATTTATTGAATAGACCGTCCTTACTCCAGGGATTGGTTTTGGATCCTTGATCAAATATAAGTTGGCTGTAGATGTTTGGATTGATTTCTGGTGTTTCAATTCTGTTCCATTGGTCTATCCATCTGTTTCTGTACCAGTACCATGCTGTTTTGATTACAACTGCCCTGTAGTATGTCCTGAAATCTGGTATTGTGATGCCTCCAGCTTTGTTTTTGTTGTACAAGATTGCTTTAGCTATTCGAGGTCTCCTGTGCCTCCATATGAATTTCAGCATCATTTTTTCCAGATCTGAGAAGAATGTCTTCGGTATTTTGTTTGGTATTTCATTGAATCTGTAAATTGCTTTTGGGAGAATGGACATTTTAATGATGTTTATTCTTCCAATCCATGAGCATGGAAGATTTTTCCATTTTTTGGTATCCTCTTCTATTTCTTTCTTTAAGATTTTGTAATTCTCATCGTAGAGATCTTTAACGTCCTTGGTTAAGTTTATTCCAAGGTATTTGATTGTTTTTGTAGCTATTGTGAATGGGATTGATCTTAGAAGTTCTTCCTCAGCCATGGCATTGTCTGTGTATACAAAGGCTGTTGATTTTTGTGCATTGATTTTATACCCTGCTACTTTGCCAAACTCTTCTATGAGTTCCAATAGTCTCTTAGTAGAGTTCTTTGGGTCCCCTAAATAAAGAATCATATCATCTGCAAAGAGGAAAATATGACTACTTCCTTCTCAATTTGTATCCCTTTAATTTCTTTTTCTTGCGTAATAGCTTTGGCTAAAACTTCCAGAGCTATGTTGAATAGCAGTGGTGAGAGTGGGCATCCCTGTCTGGTACCAGATCTCAGTGGAAATGCTTCCAACTTTTCCCCATTCAATAGGATGTTGGCCGTGGGTTTTTCATAAATTGCTTTGACTGTATTGAGGAATGTTCCTTCCATACCCAGTTTGCTTAGAGTTTTCATCATGAAAGGTTGTTGTATTTTATCAAATGCTTTCTCTGCAGCTATTGAGATAATCACATGGTTTTTCTTTTGCAGTCTGTTAATGTGGTATATCACGTTGATTGTTTTGCGAACATTGTACCATATCTGCATACCAGGGATAAATCCCACTTGGTCTGGGTGGATGATTTTCCTGATGTGTTGTTGCATTCTATTGGCCAGAATTTTATTGAGGAATTTTGCATCTATGTTCATCAGGGATATTGGTCTGTAATTCTCTCTCAATGATGCATCTTTTTCCGGCTTAGGAATTAAGGTGATGCTGGCTTCATAGAAGGAATTTGGGAGGATTCCCTCTTTTTCGATTATTCTGAATAGTTTGAGAAGAATTGGAGTTAGTTCTTCTTTAAATGTCTGGTAGAATTCAGCAGTGAATCCATCTGGTCCTGGGCTTTTCTTTGTTGGGAGGGCCTTTATTACTGTTTCAATTTCTGTCTCAGTTATGGGTCTGTTTAGGTTTTCGATGTCTTCCCGGTTCAATTTAGGTAGGTTGCATGTGTCCAGGAATCTATCCATTTCTGATAGTTTTCCCTGTTTGCTGGCATACAAGTCCTTGTAGTAATTTCTGATGATTCTTTTTATTTCTGTAGTGTCTGTTGTTACATTTCCTTTTTCATCTCTGATTTTATTGATTTGGGTCTTTTCTCCTCTTTTTTTAGTTAGTTGGGCCAATGGGGTGTCAATTTTGTTTATTTTTTCAAAAAAACAGCTCCTCGTTTGGCTGATTTTTTTGTGGGGATGTTGAATTTAGACTTCTTTGTTGATTTGATACTTATCTGTTATGTAGACACGGTAAGCAAAATGCCTTATCAGCCAGTTTACCCAATATCTCTGCATTTTTAGATCCAGGGAAATCTCAAAATTTGAAACTTAGGTGTAAACAGCAAACTTGGGTTTAGCCGGGGGCCATTTCTCCTCTTCTAGTGAGGCAAAAATGTGAGGCTCCACTTGACGTTGGTAGGAACTAAAGCTTTGCGCTGAAGTGAGTTTTCTACCCAGCAGTTCTTTTTTTTGTACTTTCCTTTGACTTGATAATATAGCTGATAAGAAAGGAGAAATAATTTGTTGTGCTTTGTGAGCTTAATTCAAAATAGTGGGTTTGCATTTTCTTTCAAATTTTTGATGTCATTTTGTTGGAAATATGTGTAAATTTTTTTTTTTTAATTTATTTTAGGGGCTGGCATTGTGGCATTGTAGGCTAAGTCTCTGCCTATGGAACCAGCATCCCAAAATGGTGCCGGTTTGTTTCACTATTGTTCCTCTTCTGATCCAGCTTCCTGCTTATGGCCTGGGAAAACAGTGGAAGATGGCCCAAGTGCTTGGGCCCCTGCACTCACGTAGGAGATCCCAAAGAAGCTCCTGGCTCCTGGCTTCAGATCAGTCCAGCTCCAGCCATTCTGGTCATTTGGGGAGTGAACCAGCGGATAGAAGACTTTTCTCTCTGTCTGTCCATCTCTCTGTAACTCTGCCTCTCATGTAAATAAATCAAATATTTTAAAAAAAATATTTATTTTATTTATTTGAGAGGGCGAGAGAGAGAGATAGCGAGTGTGAGAGAGCGCTTCCATCAGAGGCCCCAGATGGCTACAGTAATCAGGGCTGAGACAGATAGGAGCCAGGAGCTTCTTCCAGGTCTCTCAAATGGGTGCAGGGGCCCAAGCACTTTGATGATCTTTCACTGCTTTCCCAGGTGCATTGCAGGGAGCCATGGATCAGAAATGAAGCAGCTGGGACTTGAGCTGGTACCCATTGGGAATGCTGGCATTGCAGGCAGCAGCTTTACCTGACATGGTACAATTCCATCCCCAATAATTTCATTTATTATTATTATTTTTAGGAAGCTCAGTTTATATCACTAAGTCTATAAATTTAATATGAAAGTATGCAAATTTCAGAATTGCACTTACGTGTTAAATTTTCTTAGAGCTCTGAAGAGGAGTGGGTTGAAGCTGTTCCACCCCAGACTTCTCACCAGGAAAAGGCCTGGAAAGTGAAAGGTGAAAAGTCAGAAAAAGAAGATGACAGTAAAGTTACTCAGGTAAGCAAGCAACTTGATTTTAGATAAGGAAGTACCTATCAACTTGCAAGACTAGAAATATGTGATTTCTTTAGGAGAAAAATTGGTCTTTGAAAACAATAAACTCTAAGAATAATTTTCGCAAGCAAGGTATTTGCTGAGCCTTAGTCTGCTCTCCTGCTCAGTGCGTGCTGGTTTCTGTTCTAGTCCTTAGGAGGATTTCCCTGCTTCTTGTTGATGGGGAAGTGACACTTTCCCCTCATCTGTGTGCAGCCTTATACTATTACTGCTAAAGGAGTAGAGTTCAGTCAGGTTTTCTTTCTCTTTATGTCATGCCTTAATCTTCTTAGTCATAATTACAAGTGAATACTTTACAAAATTTGGGTTATAGCTTATATGCCTAAGGAAGAATGGAATTTGCCCATTGTTAGTCACAGATGAAGGATAAAGGTGATAAGAAACTAGTGTTTAATTGCTTGTTTTGTGTCAGTCATTGTAGATCCTATCCTATGTATCTATTACCTTGTTTTCCCTTTAAAACAACCCTGAAAGATACAGATTTATCCCATTTTATAGGGGAAAGACTAAGACAGAAATTTTGAGAAACTTGCTTGAAGTTTTGCAGCTATGTAGAATTTGATCCAACTTTGAGTGTCTCCAAAATCCTTGGTCTTAATGAGTTCTGATGATTGAATTGGCTTTCTTTTTTGACAGAGGGATGAGTGGATGACTGTTGATTTTATGACTGTCAAAACTGTGTCATCATCATCACTTAAAGCTGAAAAGGAAACTCAAAGGAAAATAGAACAGGAGAAAACCCAAGCGCTTGAGCATGTAAGAGAATATTTAAAATGTTTTAACTTTGCAATTTGCCACAAATTGGTAACAGCATTTCTGATTTCTATAAGTGTAATATTAATTGTAAAATGTTTTTTATCTTTTATGGTGTTTAATAAAATTAGTGAGAACATTTATGAAATGTAATTTAAGTTTTTTTAAAGGTTTATTTATTTATTTATTGTTAAAATTCACTGTAACTAGTTTTAGCACAGAGGATTTTTTTTTCCAAAGAAACCTTCTATTTATTGAGTATAAATTTCATAGTACAACTTCAGGAATATAGTGATTCTTCCCACCATATCTGCCCTCCCACCCTGACTCCCATACCACCACCACCTCCCTCTCCCATTTGCAGTCCTGTTCTCCATTATGAAAAAAAAAAAAAAAAAAAGAAGGTCTGTTCAAGTCTTTGCTTCTCAAAGTGTCAATTTCACTTCTACAGATTTCCTTTTAGGTGCTTTATTGGTTATCACAGATCGGTAGAACAGATGGTATTTTTCCCTTTGGGGCTGACTTACTTCACTAAGTATTACATTTTCCAGATTCATCCATTTTGTTGCAAATGACTAGATTTCATTTTTTTTTTTACTGCTATGTAGTATTCCATAGAGTACATATCCTGTAATTTCTTTATTCAGTGTTCAGTTGATGGGCATTCAGGTTGATTCTATGTCTTAGCTATTGTGAATTGAGCTGCAGTAAACATGGGGGTGCAGCTAAGTCTTTTATTTGCTGATTTCATTTCCCTTGGGTAAATTCCTAGGAGTGAGATGGCTGGGTCATATAGTAGGTCTGTGTGGGGAGCAACTCGGACTAGACTAAGTTACTGGAATTAAGACTTATTCTATGCATCTGCTCTCCCACAATATGGCGCTGAGAAGGGAGAAACAGCTTCTACACAGCTGCATCCAGTTCAACCAATAAACTGTAGGACCCGCTCCTGATTGGAGGAGAGCAGCGTACTCGGCGTGTGGGTAGCAGAGTTGGGATTGGTGGAAGAGGACTATAAAGGAGGAGAGAGGCCGGCGCCGCGGCTCACTAGGCTAATCCTCCGCCTAGCGGCGCCGGCACACCGGGTTCTAGTCCCGGTCGGGGCGCCGGATTCTGTCCCGGTTGCCCCTCTTCCAGGCCAGCCCTCTGCTGTGGCCAGGGAGTGCAGTGGAGGATGGCCCAGGTGCTTGGGCCCTGCACTCCATGGGAGACCAGGAAAAGCACCTGGCTCCTGGCTCCTGCCATCGGATCAGCGCGGTGCGCCGGGCTGCAGCGCGTCGGCTGCGGCGGCCATTGGAGGGTGAACCAACGGCAAAGGAAGACCTTTCTCTCTGTCTCTCTCTCTCACTGTCCACTCTGCCTGTCAAAA